TATAAAATATAATTTTAAGCAATCGTGCAACACTCTTAAAAAGGGTTCATTTCACATTTGCTAAATTCTAGTGGTCCTGGAATGCGTAATGCATTCTATTAAAAATACTCCTTTAAATATTAACAATTAGTGTTCAAATCACCAACTAATACAATATTCTTTAGCTGTCAGGGGGTTTAAATAAACCTATCTTTGATCCACGTTCCACTGAATTACACATCATGGAGGTATGCAGTCACAACATTAGTGGGTTAAATGTCAAAATGGCATTACAGTACAAAAAAGTTAAAAAAAAATTCAGCTAGTCATATGTTTCTCCATCTGTGGAATTATTATGGCTCACAAGCAACCCACTGAATTACTGTAATCCTTGTTCTTGCAACCAAAGACATTATCTGAATCCCACCTTAATCCTGACTGGTATATTTACTCCAAATTTCTCAGGTGTGGGTTAAAAATTCACTGCAAGGTGCCCACTGTCCTACGACATCCTGTTGCAAACTGGAAAACACACAGCACTTTATTTAAACATTCCTTAACTGCTACATTTTCCTAGACCACATTAATATATATTGTGTGTGTATATATATAGATATACACCTATAACATGTACATATATACACACACAAACATATATACACACATACACACACGTACCGAGGATAATAGAACACCGACATAACATTAACTCTATACAGGCATTTTGCCAAGAAAAAAAATAGGGCTTTTCCTCCACCATTTATTCACAAGCTTATGGGGTTGTTTTTTTTTTGTTTTTAATCCTTGTGTCCCTGATAAAACAAAATGCATGGTTAAACCACAAAACTATATTTTTTTTCTCACTTCAAATTTTATGAAGGCATCAGGCACTTTTGATTACTGTTGGTGTGTACAAATATAGCAACATCTTTCTTTTCTTTTATATATATATATATATACTCTACTGCATCTTCTTTGCTCGGATAACTTATTTGTGAAATCTTTGGTCCTTGAGTATATTCTGTTTGCCACAGCTGGTTTTCCTGCATTCTCACATTTTTAAAATGTGAGGCATGCACACAGCTGGAAATAATGGACTTTGTCATCGTACGTGTTTCTGTTTTTATAACTGTACCAATCCACTACTGTTCATTTGGAGCAAGCTGTTTCTGGTAAAGCACTCTAATCAAGCAAGCTATACATTCTACATGGTCAATCCATAGACGGCACTTGCTGCAAGCCCCAAATGCAGTAATTCCAATATACATTTTTATTCAGCTTATCTCTGCTTTATGCCTCTAACCTTTAATTCCTGAATATATATAGAATTGTTTTTTGTGATTTTTTTTTCTTTTTGTTGTTTTTTTTTGTGTGTTTTGTTTCTTTCATATTCTCCCTTTTGCAGATCCCATTCTAGAGTAAGAATAAAAATAAAAGAAAATAAGGCTTTCCCACCTTCTCTATGCCAAAGCTATGGGAGCAGATAGTGCCAACCCATATTGTCATCAAGCATTCCTCCCTCACTTATTTCAGGGGAAGCTGGTTGCTTTTCATGACAGGCCTCTTGTGCTCTGGGGTAGGATCCAATTATTTTGGGGTTCTTTCTCGATCATGCTCCTGCTATTTATTAGAAGAACCACAAGCTTTTCCCAAGCCTGAAAACTAGAGCAGATCATCATTGCACAAAACACCCCATTTTCAAAGGGACGCATCACCCCTTCCTACGTCTTAGAAAACGTTCTCCCCACCGGGTCTACTAATTTCGGTCCTTAATTACAGGGCAGCCAAGTAGAGTACGTGTGCTGCTGGCAAGGGAACACCGTCTGAACCTGGGCAATATAGTAATTGCTGAAGTTGGCATCTGCTACGTATGGGGCTGGCTGGTAATAGCAGGTGACATTGGCCACATTGGGGATGATATTTTGCTCGGCTAGGACCCGGATGGCCAGCATGGTGATCAGATTCAGAGTCTGTCTCCTCTCATGTCCCATCAGGCACACTGTGCTCTCATTCACCACACCGTGAAGGGTCATGAGATAGTCATACTTGCGGTCCTCTAATCCCACAAAGTGGTTCTGCAAGTAGGACTCCAGCTTTCTCTGCTGTTCTCCAATGTCTGAGAAGTCAATGAAAAACCTCGAACACATGTATCTCTGCAGGGACTTAATCTCGGATTCGGAGGCAGCCCTAAAGCCCCTTACCAAAAGGTTGCAGTACTTCAGAAGACCACCTCCTCTGATTTCTTCTGGGTTTCTGGTGGCGATTATCTTGTTGCAGAGGTGATCAAAGGCTTCCTGGAAATCCCCATAGACGCTCTCACCAATGATAGTCGGGTGAAAAGTTTCAGTCATCGGATTCTCTGAGCATTCATAAAAAAGCAGCAGGGAGTCCAGCTTGATTTGAAAGGAATCGACACTGAATTCAAACTGCCGCCTCAGAGAGTCCACAAATTTCAGCTCCACATTTTTGCCACTGTTGTTGGACAGGGAGATGAGACTCCATCGGTCTGAATCATTGCATACTTTTACCATTTTCTGCACATAAGCCTCCTATAATCGGAAAGACAAAATGAGCAAATGAAGACACAGATGCAAGAAATTTCCCCTTTGCTGCGTTTGTTCCCCCCGCCCTTCACCCTGTCCTCGTGTTTCATAAAAGATTTCATGGAGCTTGCTGATACAAACCACAGAAGAAATGCTTAATGTGAGAGCCTGGAGTGCTGTCACTGCAAGGGGATGATAGGGGAGGGTGTTCTGCCGGGACTGTGTCGTGCAGGGGAAGCATATTCCAACACTGCTTCTTTCCATTGCTTCTAAATACATCTACACATGAAGCCCATGGCACACATGCCAAATATCCATGCACCTACACACAAAAGGTCACCACTACGATCAGATAAGAAATGTTTTTTATCGCTTTCCACTTCTCTCTCCTCTCCCCACAAAAAAACTTAGTAAGCATTCGCTCCCCTCAATCCTGTTCTTTCAGCACAGGTTCCACAAATCTGCTCCATATTCCAAAAAATCCCTCTAAAAAAATCTTAAAGGCATTTGGCACTCAGCCTAACTCGAGCAAACTGTCTCTGAGAGGAAGGGGTATGCCTCTCTGCTGGGGCACACAACAAACTGTGCCTTGCAGACGGTGTTTCCTTCTCGCAGATATTAAAGCCATCTAAGCTGTCCCCAGCCACGCCGGGAAGCGGGTCTGGCAAACCAACCCGCCGCAGAGCCGAGCTGGGAGGTTTGCAGCACCTTGCACACCCCCCCACCCACCCCAGGTAAATCAATGCTCCCAGCAAAAATCAAAAGAGAGACAGGGAGGAAAGACTAATTAATCCTGAGGAGCCCCGGCCAGGATGCTTTACTGCAAACTCCTCCTCGGTTTTCAGTGTGGGGTGGAAAAAAATAACCGATGGTGCCCGTGGGTGTCGGGAGCCGCATCCCTCCGTGCACCCCTCCATCCCCGAGGGGAAGGTGCCCCGTTGCCCCCAGGGCAGGCGCTTACACCTGCCCGCTCTGGGCACCCGGGCACAGGGCAGGTTTACCTTGAGGGTTTGATCTTCTCCTTGTTCACCCCCTCGGGTAAGAAATCCAAGAGGCAGTCCAAGACCACCTCCTTCACAGTCTGAAACTCAGCTTCCCCTTTGAGGTCGGCGCAGAAGATGAGGTCCAAGTCCTTGTAGCCCAGGCCGCTGTCCTGGTGGAGGACGTGGCTGGG